TATTTTGCTTTTTATTTTCTTTTTTTCTTTTATATTTTTCTTTTCTCTTATTATTTTCTCTTTCTTTTTTGTCTTCTTTTTCTTTTCTTTTTTTATTTTTATATTCTATATATCAAAGATCATTTTAAATCAGTTATTGTGCTTTTTTTGAATCTTGTTAATTGCTTTTTCTCTACCATGTTTGCAATCAAAATTGATTATAATCCAAGCATTACTCTTCTTGAACACTTCTTTGACTTCTATTATATATTTGTTAGTTATTAGTAGTCTTTCTACAAACTTTGTTCTTTTTTCTTTTAAGCTGCCTAGCACATTATATACTGGTATTTTTGCTATATATATTAGTTTTTTGCAATAATTTCTGTTTGCAAGTGACTATATACTTTGATTTAATGGTGCCTTCATAAAGCTACTTCTTTCTATTTTAAGGTTCTATTTCTTTTTCTTTTTTTTTTTTAATTTCTAATTGCTGCTATTATGTCTTGATAATCTTGCTGTATTATATTTGTCTTTAATGTTTTAATTTCTTTTTTTATATATTTGTTTATTATTGTTTTCATCATTATACTTGTGTCTTCTATATCTTTTGTATCTTCTTTATTTCTTCTTTTTTTCTGTTATTTTTTTTTCTTTATTTGTGTTTTGTTGTAGTTCTTTTTTTTTTATTACTATATCTATTGCATTTGTAATTTGTTTCATTTTTTTTATATATATTTTTGGTATAGTTACTTCTTCTTTGGTATCATTTGATTTTTCTTACTGCTTATGCTTTCTACTGCTATTGGATGTTAGCTTACATGATTTATTTCTTCAGCCTATTTTTTTATACTAGTTGGGTCTTTCATGTCTACTTTAATTATTACTTCATATATTTTTCTTAGCATTATTATTTCTATTAAGTCAGCTTTTTATAATGCTGCTATAACTATATCTCTTATATTAAAGTGATAGTCTTTGTTTGCTTGTTCTTGCTTTAACTCTTTACTATCTATAAGTTTTAGTACTGCTTCTGCCCTTTCATTTACCAACTTTAGTGTCATAGACTCTTCTGGTTTTATTTGTATTAATATTTGACTATGTTTGTATAACTATTTATAAATGCTTCTATCACATGCATTTTATAATACTTACATATCTATTCTGCCTATTTCTGTACATGCTTGTTCTCATATGCTTATGTGGTCTAAAATAATCTGTGATTTTAGATCAATACTATTTTCTCAAAATTTTCTTTTTAGTTACTATTTCATTAAGCTTGTCTTTTTTTTACTTGTTATATCTTTTTATTTTTCTTGTTGTTGCACTTACTAGGTCTGTTTTAAGTATACTTTCTTTTTGTCAAAGTCTCTAACTGCTGTTTTGACACTGGTTTTTGTATAAAATATGATTTTCTCTTTTTGTAAGTTTGTGTTTTAGTGATCAGTAGAAAGAGTTATGTTGATCTATTATATTTAATAATTTAACTTTATTAAATTTATATTAAAATCATATAAAAAACAACTTTTTATAATATTTTTTTCTATAATTAGTAGCTGAGTAGATATTATTCAAGAAATTTAATTGTTTCTAGAATAGTATTGTAGTTAGTGCTATATGATACTTTACTTAATAAATCAGGTAAAATTTTAATCACACAATCTTTTGCTTAGTTATATCAATATCAAAATCTTATAATATATAAAATATTATAGTAAATTATAATTTAGTTCTATTATAATTCTTTGTATTAAGCAATATCTATTATATCAATAGTCTGTTATATCTAGAGCTACTTTGTAGTCTAAATCAAATAAACTAAGTTACTATTTTGATAAATAAAATATAGTAATGCAGACTATCTAATGACTAAATTTTAAATTTTACATTTTGAAAATAAATTTTTTCATATTAATAAAAGAATATTTTATTTATTTAAAATAATTATTTCAATTAATTGCTTTAATTAATTATAACAATAAATATCTTAATTACTAGCAAACAATATTGAAAGATTTAAAACATCTTTAGAGTTAGCATTGTTTAAAATTAAAAAGTTGAGAAAATAACTATTAGAAATAGCAAATCTTTCTTATAGTAATTAGAAATAGTTTAAGATAATATCAATAGCTTAAAATTTTATAATTAACTTTTTCTATAATAAACTGTTGTTCTAGAAAAAAAAGTTTATTATAGAAAATTATTAGAACTTATTAAATTTCAAAATTCTGAGTTCATTATATTTAGAGTTTATTATATAGAGGTTTATTATACAGTATCTAGTATCAACTGTATAAGTACTTATATTATTTCTTTAGCTAAGTTGATTTTTTTTTTACTTATTATTAAATTTCATAATTATTTATACTAATTTATTTTTTTTTTTAGCTATTTAAGATTGCATCACAGCTTTCTCAAATAAGACTTGTCAAGACTTTTGTAAAAGCTAAAACAAACTTCAATAACTATATAATTTAGAGGTTTCTGTTTGTTCTTTTTTAATAAAAAGCAAAATGATTAAATAGGTTATTATCTTTAATATTACTATTATTGTCTGATTTAATATTATTTTTTTTGTAAGTTTACTATATCTAATTCTTTAAGACTTGATTCACTTTTACAATTAACATTTTGGTTTTATTTTTATATAACTTAACTTTGACTCTTAATGCAGCATTCAGATTTTTTTATTTTCAGTAAAAGTTTTAATATGGTTAATACTAGATATAGCAAACCTTTATATAATGAACTCAAGATATATTGAACTTAAAATTTTAAAATTTTATAATAGTTTAGTATAAAATGTGTTGTGAGTTTTTAAAAAAATATAGTAATTTTTTATAATGAACTTTTTTTCAGAACTATTAGTTCATTATAAAAAGAGTTAACTGTATTATTTTTATTTAATACCTAATAATTCCTTCTAGTTTATTTAAAATCTTGTTATTACCTTATTTTCACTATTTTTTTTTTTGAATCAATCATTTTTTTCATAACTCTTATTGGCCTTATTATTTTATTAATACTGCATAATTCTACTTTATAACATTTAAAAGCTTATACAATCTAATTAAAGATGAAATTCAAGATTGTAAGAGAAATCTAGATTAGTATAATCACATCATATTAGAATTAATAATACAATAATAAATCAAAATATTACCTGCTGTATTTGAGGCCTTTTCATTAAATTTTTAATACTTTATAACCTGAACTACTTTATACTTTTATAAAAATATTCTATATTTAATATATGAACATGAATTACCATTAGAGCACTTAAGTTTTCAAATTTAAAAAATAAACTTTAATCTTGTCAAAGCTTGTTTTATAGTTATTTTATAATTATAATTATTATGATAGATTTTCAGAACCTTTCTACTCACTTTGCTTAGCATATCATGCATATATCCAAGTTTTTTATAATAAAAAATTAAAAAATAAAGAATTATTACAATTACACAGATCATGTTATTCTATTATTATATAAAACTTGTATAACTATGTTCTGAAAGGTGATTTTACTAGGATTTTAGTTTTGTGCAACAATAAAGCAAATCTAAATTTAAAATAATTTTAAATTTATATAACAAAACTATAATCTTTGTTTATCTAAAATCAGGTGATCTTTCTAAACTATGATTTTCTTAGCAAAAGTCTCATATCAGGTTAGAACTATCTAATTACTATTTATATCAAAATATCACCTCATTGGATGTTACTAAGTATTCATAGTTCTTCAAATTTATCCTCAACACAAACTTACTAAGTATGATATCAAAATTATCTTTTAGATTTTATCCAATTTCAATGTATTTTATATTCACTAAAATCAATATTAGTACCAGAAGTGTTCAAATTTCAGTATGTTTGTTTCTTTCTTTTAACTACCTTTTATGTTTAACATATCACCTGCTAGTACACCTTTTCTTTATTTCTGATATGTTCACTGCTTCTTTCACATTAAACACCAACTCTTCATATTGAAAAACTTCTTTCTGAGAATTTTTTTATGCACTGATCTTCTATTCACATGGACTTAGTCTCAGAACTTTGCATACATTTATATGCTTCCATAGATTACTAGGTTTTTTTTACCTCCAGCTAGAATTAAACCGTTGACCTTGTCTGTGAAGGGGGGCACCTAGACCACTAAGCTATGGGACCCCAACCCCGTGTGACCTATATGATATTCTATACACACCTATTTTTATTCGAAAACTGTACCCAAACATTAAGTTGTGATAGAAACTAGAGATTGTACCTGGATGAACATTTTTATTATATGGCTATAATACCGGATAATTTAATAATACCCGAGTAGAAATTTTCTTGAAGATATAATCTCTAATAGAAACTTAAAATGGTTATTAGTATAACTCTAGTTTTAATTGATAATTGTTAAATTGGAAGCTACTTTGCGTTACCCAACCTAACCTTATATTATAGTAATATCATAAAGAAATCAAAAACTTATCGAACCTGCCGAATTTATGAGAATAAAGTCGCACCTCTAAGTGCACCAAATATGTTAACATGCACAGTATAGTTTGGACACAACTTATAAGAGCCCTATATATTTTGCTTTTTATATGTACACATCCTCTCGGGTCTCGAGGTGCACTTAAAGGTGCAACTGTAGTTGTAATGAGATTACAGTATTTTTTCGGCAGCCGAAAATATACCATAACGGTAATCGTAAAGGTAATGCCGTAAATCATTCTGAATTTAGGCACATATGCGTAATCCATTTAATGTTAATGACAAAACTTGCTCAAAACCTGATCACAATTCTAGAAACAATTACCATCTATGTGAGTGACAAGAAGAGTTAATAGAATTTTTAGAATTAATTGTGGGACTGCATGGTGAAATGTCAATTTAGTAGTTCATTTACACTACGTAAAATGGAATGGTTCACTAAACTGCATAAAGCCAATATCTATATAATGTCTTAACTGAATTTTTTCTGAATACTAAGTGGTAGTTCTCTATTCACAAATATCACGATAAATAATATAGTAATGGAAAGCAAAAAATCCACATCTCGTGACGGGGAATCCCATACGAATCCGCCTGCAAATTCCAAGCTTTTCCCAATCAGTGCTTTAATTTTCTTCATATCTATTCTAATTTACAGATATTCATCTTTTGGTCCTTTTGCGCCATTTCAATGTCAATTAATAGGAATTGGATGCCTTAGTACGAAAGTACAAGGTTATATAGCGCCGGAATTTATTAATGTGAAAAAAGCATTTATAACCAATTTCGAAAATGGAGATGAAGTTGGATCAAGTGTTGCGGTTTACTATAATGGCAAACTAGTGGTTGATTTACAAGGTGGATATGCTGATCTTGAGACAATGCGTGGATTCGATAATAATACGTTACAACCTGTTTTTTCGTGCACCAAAGTTTTGGTAAAAAAAAATATCCTTTTTTTTTCTTAAATATACAGCAATTAAAATTCATCTTACTTTGATCATTTATAATTTTTTTTTTTTTTTTTATAGGCTGCAATCGTAATAGCATGCTTAGTGGATCGGGGAATTCTTGATTACAATGAAAAAATATCCACATATTGGCCAGAATTTGCTCAAGGTAATAAAGAAAATGTTACACTTCTGGATCTAGTAAACCACCGAGCAGGAGTAAGTTATCTCGATAAGGTGGTAAAATCTGATATAGAAGATCTTGATAAATTGGCAAAAATTCTTGCCGCTCAACCACATTCGTTCGGCGGAGTTCCTAATCGTGCATATCATCCAGTGACTTATGGATGGTATTTAAATGAGGTTGTTCGTAGAGTTGATCCGAAACATCGCACTATTGGAAAAATCGTTTCAGAAGAAATTTTGACGCAATATGATTTAGAATTTTATTTATTATTGCCAACAAATCTTATATCGAGGGTTGCAAAATTTTATGAGACACCTACTGTCAAAGCATTTTTTGAATCGTTTGGTGTCTTTAGTAGTTGGTGGGCTGGGAAGGTGCCAGGATCTTTTTTCACAGAATTTAATAATAAAGAAAGTGTGGCATATAAAACTTTTAATTGTTTATATCCTCTTTCTTCGGCAGTCACAGACTATTCAAAGTTAGAGATTGTTACTATAGAATGGCCAAGTGCTAATGGAATTACAAACGCAAAATCAATTGCTAAGCTAGGTGCCATAATTGTAAATAATGGTCAACCTCTTCATGATGATAGTAGTTCATCATCATCTAGTGCTAGTTCTAAGTCTCTTCTTTCAAAGTCTATAGTTGATCTCATTTCTACAAAATTGCCAGCAACTTTTGATCATGTTCTTTATACAAATATTACACCTTCATTTGGTGGATTTGTTTATATTAGATTTCCTGGTATTGAAGATGTAGAATTCGTGGGATGGGGAGGATACGGTGGAAGTTTATTTATATGGAACCGGGAATTAGGAATCTCATTCGGTTACGCTAATAATGGCTTGCGGACTCCTATATTTGGTGAAATTAGTGATCGAAGAACATGGAGTATATTAAAAGAAGTTGTGAATGTTGTCAAAAAATTAAAAAGAGAGCAGGCTTAAATATTCATTTTAAAAAATAACTAGTCCATACTATTATGTAAAAATCTACATGTATTTTACCTTATATTTTATTTTCATATTCTATAGTACGTATTTATTTGGTAAATAAAATTTATAAAAAGTAATGTTAACTTTTTATTAGAAACTTTGTATGTTTTTTTATCTTTGATTTTTGCATGATGATACTATCTACAAAATTGAAAATTATAATAAAAATGTATTTGCTGGTGCTAAAAAACTATGTATGATAATTTAATTAATTGTTTCTCACTAATGGTAGTATAATGAAAAATTTAATATCAATGGTATTAAAGTTTAAAAATAGTAATAGCAATTCCAGAAATACAATACTGATAAAACATTAAAGTTGATCCCATTCCAATACAATCATAGAATAAATAACAAAAAATTTATTTTCTTTCAACTGGTGCTTTTAGATAATAGCAACGGATTTATAAAATACACTATATTTCAAAAAATGATTTCAAACGCTTTTAGCTCTATTACTAATCCTTAATTCCTAACCCTAACTCTAAATTTATAATACGAAGAATAAATATAAAAACGCATACAAGAAGATTCCTTTCTGCGTTATTAAAGTCTCAGATCTCTATATTAAGCATAAAATAAATATTAAAAATCACCTTTCTCAAATGTTATAATGAACATTTGAGTTGGTATTCTTTATTCTCAATTTTTGATTAGTAAAACGTTTCATTGCGTCTACGAATTGATATAATTCTTATGCTGTTGTTATCTTCATTCCTTTCGTTACGTTCCCATCATGTTATTTTATTTATTTTTTATTCTAAATTCACCATTATACTTAATCCCTTAGATAGGATCATCCTCCATAAATGTTGCTAAATGTTGTTAATTGCGTAGGATTCGAATTGTACGTAGTGCCACCGCCTGGATAGTTCTTCGTGTTATTCCTAATGGATTAAAGATAGACGCATAATATTCATCAGTATAATATTTTGTAAAGGATACGCATGTTAGAAGTATACTTATTTACATATATTAGTACTTCTGAGTAAGCTAGAAGCCACTATTATTGTTTCGCTGTTAACAAAAACCTTTTAATAGTAAACAATAAAAATAATTTATACAAAGCATAATTTCATAACAGTATTTTTATGAGAGCCAATTTCGAATACTAATTATAATCTAGTTATATATCAAAACTATATATGGTTATATAATGTATTACACCACTTCAAATTATTATAAGGCAAATAGATCAGTTTATACTCGAGAGTTATTGCTAATACTTTATTGCTTTCAATTAAAATATAAATAATTCATTGCTAATTGTTGTATATTAAAAATAAAATTTATTAATAATGTAACATTAAATAGAGTTATTCTAAATATTAAAATATATATTGCAATAGTAATATACTGTATTTTAGAATATGTGATAAATTTTAACTGTAGTAATCTGAAGCAAATTATGGTGTATAATCTGAAGCAGGTAGTATGACTTTGATGTTTACTCTGATAGAGCATGCTCTACACTACTCTGAATTACATTTAATGTATATATAATATGTACATACGTTGTTAGCCTCAGAAATGTGATCCTTGTAATTTTATAAGAATGTGCATTATTAGAAGGATCCACTTTTCATACTTTTGAGTTTAGAGTTAAGTTATAAAATTATATCGATTATGCAACAATTGTATATAGGCAAAATTTTGTAATTAGTAATAACTTTTAATTTACTACCAAAATAATCACATTAAAGATGCTCAAAATCATCAAAATTTAATCACAGAATAAAATTATTATAAAGTAAATAAAAGTTTAATTAGTAAACTGATAATTTGACTATAAAAAAGGTGTTGTGTAATCTATTTTAGGGCTGTTAAAAGTCCCGATCCCTTCGGCCCAGACTTCGTAAATAAGGAGTAATGATCAAATAATCTCGATATAAATTAGCCAATCATATGAATGCCTCTGATTACAATTCGAACAAATGACATGCATTTGACAAATTATATGGATCACAAAAGATATGTATATGGGACCTTGTCCGGGACAGGTTTGAGTCAGTCCTAAAAAGTCCTTGTGAAATCGACTCAACAAGCTTTTAACAACTCTAATCTATTTTATTGGGTTTTCCAATAAAATATATTATACTCTGTAATACCTTTTTTAGTTAAAATTTTATTTGCTATATAATAATTTGAAGATTCTGTGATTGGATTCTGATGATTTTGAAGTTGTTAGAATCACTTTAGTAAGATTATTTTAGCAATAAAATCATTTATTGCTGTTTGCAAAGTAATTACTAATTTCTGATTTCTTTAACGGTTTTTTTTGACTTTTAGACTAGACAAAATTTGTGCATTTATCATTTGTAAAAATTTTATTGAATCTTTTAATCTGCAACTCCTATTTCTGCAAATATATTACAAAATGATTGATATGCAATTTTTATTTCTATAAAAAATAATCAAAATAATAGATGCGCAAATTTAAAAGTCAAAAAAATGGTGAATAAATCGGAAATTAGTGATAACTTTTTTAATGATCAAATTTCGCAAACCGCACTAGTGAGCTAAAAATTATTACTACGTAATTACAAAAATTTGCCTAATTTGCTCAGAACAAATCAATATCGATGTTATCATGCGATTTGCAAACGATTGTCCTGTTTACGTAATTACGTACAAAAAATATCAAAAAAAATCCATGATCGTAAGAGTTTGCACGATAACTTATACAAAATAAAGAATTTTGATATAAGCAAAATCGCAACCTGATCAAAGTTTTAAATTTTACTTTCCAGATTGCATTGACAAAATGTGTGATGTAGTAAGATACAAAATAAGTAATTATTACTTATATCGTTTACCTTACCTATCTCTATTCTCATGTATTTTAGTAAATTAGAAGTTTCATGTTTTTTACATGATGCGTTTGCAGGGTTGGGAATTATACGGTATAATTCCCAACCCTATGTGTTAATCAATGTTAATTTCGTAGTTTGATTGGTTACAGGTCAAAAATCCTGAAACTTAATTGTTGCGTCGCATGATGTCATTTAGTATAATTACTAAGCATAAGCGGTGTTTAAATATTATCACGCAACCCGATAATTAAGTAGTTTGCGGGATTTTGATTTCCACACAACCTATTCAAGTTACTATTGAAGCTAGATTAAATCTACTTCACATCACTCTCAACCAGTAAAATTAAGCACATATTATAATATCCTATATAGTGCATATATGACTTTAGTCATATTGGTCATGGGCCATAATTATGAAGCTTAAAATATGTCTGAAGCATAAGATGGCTCATTTGTTCTCATGCAATGTTGGTCCGAAACTGCCTGCATTCAGTGTAACAATACGATTTCTGTGAAACCTGTAAATCGTGCTTTACTTTTAATAACAATATTTTTTAAAACCATGTGTAATTTAACAATTATTGTCTTACGTATTATCATTTACTTTGCTTTTTAAGGTATTTTCTATTACAAATAAATATTCAAAAGCACGATTTACAGTTTCACAGATCGTCACTCGTATTGAAGGAGATAAGGTTTATTTTCATAGTCTGGATTCAGGTCCGGATGGAGTTATATTTAACCGTCTTAAACAAATATGTTTAAGGTTTACATTGATATTCATTATAATAATTCATTGAACGTATGACGGTTCTATATCATAGCATAGATAGTCTAACATTGCCTTAACATACTCTGGTGAAACTTTCATGACATAAGGTGTACGTAACCTAGCATACATTTCGCGCAAGATTACTACTACGAGAGTATTTGTATATATATATCATCTCGCAGACATTTTCTATTATTGATTTGATCTCTCCCATGTTGTGATATTTATAAAGCATGATCTTATATTAATCGGATAACCGGATAATCCGAAAATTTTTGATTATCCGGTCATAGGATAAAAAAAGTCCTATTCTATTAGTATGGTTTTGAAGATCATATTATATCTGTAATTTTTTAATGTCACTGGTCCAACCCAATGTTTTTGTATAAAATGACATGCTTTCCCACAACATAACGATAAATAATATAACAATGAGTAAAAAGTCCATTTCTGATAAAAAGGAAGTCAAAGCACATCCATCTACTAGATCTAAATTTTTTCCGATCAGTGTAGTAATTTTAATCATATCTATAGTAATCTATATATTATTATCTGTTGGTCATTTTACTTCACTACAATGCCGATTATTAAGGATAGGATGTCTTAATACGAAAGTTCAAGGTTATGTAGCACCAGAGTTTATTGATGTAGAAAAAACATTTATAAAAAATTTTGAAAATGGTTATGAAGTTGGTGCAAATGTTGCAGCTTACTATAATGGTAAGCTAGTGGTAGATTTACATGGTGGATACGCTGATCTTGAGACAATGCGTGAATACGATAATAATACTTTACAATTTGTTTTTTCAAGCACTAAAGTTATGGTAAATAATATAGTTTCTTTCTTTTTCTTTTTTTAATTATTAAGTAATTAACCTTACATTAATTATTTATATATTTATGTTTTTTTTCTTTTCATAGAGTTCAATCGTTATAGCATACTTAGTAGATCGAGGAATTCTTGATTACAATGAAAAAATATCCACATATTGGCCAGAATTTGCTCAAGGTAATAAGGAAAATGTTACACTTCTGGATCTAGTAAATCACCGAGCAGGAGTAAATTATCTCGACAATATGTCAGATTCTGATTTTGAAGATCTCGATAAATTAGCAAAAGTTCTTGCCGCTCAACCACACTCGTTCGACGGTGTTCCTAATCGTGCATATCATGCAGTAACTCGTGGGTGGTATTTAAATGAGGTTGTTCGTAGAGTTGATCCAAAACATCGAACTATTGGAAAAATTGTTTCAGAAGAAATTTTGACGCAATACGATTTAGAATTTTATATATCATTGCCACCAAGTCATATATCGAGGGTTGCAAAGTTTTACAAACCTAAAAGTTGGAATATTAAACGTGTGTTTAATATGTTAGAAGCTTTGTGGAATAAGAAAATGTCAACCTCTGATGTTTGGGAACTTATAACTGATAAAAGGAAGATGTCTAAAATTTTTGCAATCCCTGGAATTTCAGACTTAGCTGATGCAATAAAGTTAGAGTCGATCACTAAGGAACATCCAAGTGTTAATGGAATCACAAACGCTAAATCAATCGCTAAGATGGGTGCCATGATTGTAAATAATGGTCAACCTCTCAATACTGATAGTTCTAAGCCTTTCCTTTCAAAGTCTACAGTGGATTTCATTTCCACTAAATTACCGGTAGCTTTTGATCATGTTATTCTTGCAAATTTTACACCCGCAGCTGGTGGATTTGCTTATTTTAGACTTCCTGAGATTGAAGATGTAGAATTCCTGGGATGGGGGGGATATGGTGGAAGCTTATTCTTATGGAATCGAGAACTAGGAATCTCATTTGGTTATGTCATGAACGGCCTTTGGGCTCCTGTGCATGGTGAAATTGCTGATAAAAGAGGGTGGAGTTTGTTAATAGATGTTGTGAATGCAGTCAAGAAATTAAAAAAAATGCAAGCCTAAATGTTTCATTTTCATAATAATGTTATTGTGTAAAAATTGATAAATTTTTTTTTTTTAAATGACCCTATGGGACATAGTAATTACTATGTTCCATAAGGATATTTTTGAGACAATCAACAAAGGTTCATTTAGGACAATATTATTCCTTTTTTTTTGAACGTTCAACTTCTGACTATACTGTATCTTCTTTGCATATCTACTTGGTAAATAAAAATATTTGTTAAAGTTTGATACTTTATTTTTTTATTAAATTGGTTATGGTAGTCAAGATACTATATTTTGCAAAAATACCATTCTTGATGAACGTCGGTACTGTTCTTGATAGGGTTCTGAAAATGGGCCTCTAAAATATATTAAAAGTATATAAAAAAATTAGGATCTAGGGTTTGTTTTAATAACAGTACACATAAAATTTTTTTTAACTCTTTCAAGGTATTTTTGCGTATTGCTACATATAAATCCCTTAAATTAGTTGCTAAAAAACGTGTTTGATTTTTTTTGACTTTAGGATGCAGATAACAATAACTATCAAGCAAATACAGAAATAAACGCAACAATGAAATAAGATATACAAGAGTTCTTATTTGTTCTTAATTTTTGTCTAATATCAGATACTTTGAAAATTTTTAACTTTTTCATACATCTTTTATTTTATTTTTTGGGTTTCTTGTTTACTTTTCAAGTTCGCAATAATTTTGATTTTGCACGTTTTTTTTTCAAGTTGGCAATAAATTTTTATCTTTATATTAACTCTTTTCATATATATTTATTTTTTAAAAATTCTCCAATATGGGATTTTTTTGAAAGGTATGTGGGTTTTTTTTCTAATGTATTGATTAATTTGTACAAAAGAGTGCAATAAGAACAGGTTAGAAAATATAGCATCTTTTTTTATCTGAAAAAAGTTTCTTTATTTTTAGAGAATAGATAAATATAGTTTTGTTGTTGTTTTTAATCTTTGCTTTACAAAAATTTAAATTCCCTGAAATACAATTTTTTTTGTTTTACAAACTTAGGTTGTAAAATTTTTTTGGATCATTTTTGGTATTGACATTCTTGTTGTATAGTTGAATAATAGTTAACAGATATTAAAATACATTGAATAAATAATAGTATATTGTAATATTAGAAAGTTAATTTATTTTGTAATTCAAAATGTTAATTGTTTTATAGTACAATAATAATAATATATCTAAATAAAGTTTATATAGTGCTTAAAGACTATATTTGGTCTATTTTTAAAAATTAAAAGTTTAAGATTTTAATTTATTTTAAAATGCTAATTTTTGATGTTTTTAAAATTACTTAATTTTGATTAGTTGATTTTTTTAAAATTTAATTGGTTAAAAAATTTTATAAAATTTTAATATATAAATTTTAAACAAATTCAATTAGTTATTTATTAATATATTATATTTTTAAATATTTTTATATATAATTATATAAAATATAATATTTATAAAACTAGATATTTTAAAAAATTATTATAACTTTTTTTAAAAAAATAAAGTTACTAAGTTGTAATATATTTTAATTGTTTTTTTTAAAATGCCAAAATAGAAACTTTATTAGATAATAAAAGTAATTATATTAAAGATTTCTAAACTACATTTGTGTTACTTATTTAAGACACCCAATATAACATTACACCTTTATTTCTATATTATATTATTATTAATTATTTCAAATTAATTTTAAGTATAGAAAGACTAGAGAAAATTTAAGGTGATAGTTTTGGCATTTAGTAAATACAATTAGTAAGTGTGTAGTCTAACATTAACCAGTTATTAATAGATATAGTTGGGTTTATAATAGGTATTAGTAGTATTAAAATTAGGTTGAGAAGATAGAGCTAAGAAATATATTTTTAAATGTTTAGATTTGTTAGTTATATTAAGAGTTTTTTTTTATTGTTATTGAAGAATATTGCATAGTAGTTATATATATTAATAAAACTAATTAAGAAAAGCATTTGATAAAGTTATAAAAAAGAATGATGTTGTTTTATAAAGTAATATTTTAATATTATTATATTGATATGTAGAGAAAAAACCTTGAATAAGATTAAAAAAATAAGAATATAGTAGAGTATTTAATTATTGTAACAGGATAATATAGATTTTATTTGAAAGTTTAGAAGAAATATTTAATTGTTGAATAGTATTTTTTTTTTTTTTTGGTATTAAGGTGACCTCTTTGGTCTTTTTGACTTTTATTAATCACTTATTGATATTGTGGTTCAATGAACTACTACAGAAGAGCGTACAATTGGCTACATATATAACTTTTCTATATTACCTATTTAAGGAGTCCGCCCAAAGGTTCCCTACCAATTGCCATACCTAATACCCCTGCTTGGGTGTTCTACTTTAAACCCTCTGAACCTGTAACCTGTATTAACATCACTGGGTCATCTCAGATGCCCAGATCATCATCTCAACCTTAGGACTAATTTATCCTCGAGGTAAACCCCTCAGAGCCTTCTTTACCTATTTTTACAGCTGACCTAGGTATCGCTATGGCAGAACCAACACTTATGGTCAGGGCTAACCATTAAACTACCATGCCCTTGTAGAGTTCACACAAACCCTAGCATCTACTTCATAGCATATCCAAAATACTTTAGTATATCCCTGCCAGTTCATCAAACTCCCAATCCAGATAGCTCAGTAGGACTTACAACTGGTCTTTTGGTATATTAGGTCAGCCCGATATCATTTTCCTCCAGCTTGATCTGGCGGCCTGATTGGTAATACCCCCCACCTAGAGGTTTTTGCCTGTCCGGCTACTTCAATCTTGATATCCATTTCATAAGGCTAGCCTTTCAGTAGGGCCATCGAAGATCTGGCTACCTCTCTATTCAGGTCTTCCTAAATGGACTTCTTGTTACCCAATTTCAATGGATTTAAACAGCCACAAGGACTTATCTAGTGTTTGCACTGCCTATTGCCAGTTTGCATTTCTTCATGTAATCATAACCTTGTTCCAAAAGACAATGCATGTGATCTGTTACATGAATGCCCTATGACCTACCAGTCATGCTAGTGCGACCGCCATTACAGGTATCCTAACCCAATCATTAGTAACAGTTGCCATAATACAAATATTACATAGGTGATTATCTAAATTTTCACCATCAATGGGATTTGAACACCCAACCTACCACTTGGAGAGTTGACAACCTGACCACTTCACTAGGTCACCACATCTCTTGTTGAATAGTATTTGAAATTAAAGTTTGAAGAATTTGTTAAAGATTATATTTTTGTTTAGAACATGTAAGAAGATGTAATATATCTTTGAAAGTTTAACAATAGATTCAATTTGGAATAATATATAAGAAAAAATATTATAAATTAAAATTTTGTATAGTAGTTAAGTTGTTATTAATAATTTTAAGATATAATATATAGAATTTTTGATCATTGTTTAGAGAAATGATAATATTAATATTTGTTGACTATTTAATAGAAAATGGGTTTTGAAAAGATTTAAGTTGTAACCAAGAAAAAAATAATTGTATAGTTATTGTATTTTGTAAGAATAGTCAAGTTTTAATAGAAATTATATAATCATGTCATTTAAAATGATTAGGAAATAATGTTATAAAGTTAGATTTAATTAGGTATTTTGAAATATTTTATTTGGCTATAAGATCAGCTTGATTATAAAAAAAATTATTAAAGTAAAATTTAACTTTATAAAAAGAGATATTAAGAGATTTTGTTTGAATAAAATAATGAATAATAAATAAAATATCTTAGTTTTTGATATATAAGAATTTATGTAAAAAAAAATAATTAAATGTTTTTTAAAAGCTAATAAATTATTGAGGTATATATTGTTTTGTAAGTTTATTAGTAGAATAAGCAAAAGGTAAACAATTGCTTTAAGTTTTGTTCAAATAGAGTCAAGATATGAAGAAATTGCATAATTAAATTTGATTTAAATATTTAGAGATCTATCCAATACCAATTTTTGAAAATGTGTTTGTATATTAATAATTGAGACATTTGTATAAAAATAAGTACTATTTAGAAGGTTTTTAGTCAATAAAAATAATCAATAAGTTGGTTTTGGTAGTAATAAGAAAATATAGTTTTTTAAATTATTTGAATTTCTATATCAGAGATATAAATAGTTGATATTTGAGATAATATAGAAGTTGAAATTGCTTGTTATTGGAAATTAATAAGTATATAAATTTTATAGTTATTAATATAGAGTAAATAGTTATTATTCTTTTTTAATAATTTAATATATAAAATATTAATAAAGATTTAGGATATTTGTATAGATAAGAAAGATATTAATTCAAGAGAAATATTATGAAAAAAGAAAAAGTTAAGTGAATTTTTTGTAAAGAAAATTTATAAATTAATAAGAATAAGAGACTATTTATTTAATGATAATAGGTGATAAGAAGTAATTATATCAAAAAAATTTATAAAAGTATTAATATTTGGTAAGTTAAGATATGGTAATATTTGAGAAATTGTATTGTTTTGAATAAGATTAGAAAGTTTAGTAAACCAAGATGAAGAAAGTCATGAATGGATTTCTTAATATATATATATATTTTTCTATAGTAGAATATATAAATTATTAGCTATTATAAACTGTTCAATAAAGAGTATTTTATTGTTTCAAAAACTGCTAATTAAAGAATAAAAAATATTAGATAAAAGAATATTATATATTATTTTTATAAATATAGTAATATTAACTAGTAGTAAATTTAGTAAGTTGTTAAGTAAGAAAAAAATATTGAAATTATTTAAAAATAAAAGTTAAAAAATGAATATTAAATTTTTTGTTTTTAATGAAAACTTAGAAGTAATATTTAGGAAAAAAAAAATGTCATATTTTAGTTAACCAATTTTTGATTTTAGTTATTCCAATATATTTGAAAAGAGAAATAGTATGAAAAATATATTTTATTATAAATATTACTACTTTTAAGTCAGATATTGAAGGTTAGAAGTTTAAATAATAATGAA